TTTTAGAAGACATCGGAAGGCAGTCCTGTTTAGGGAAGTTTTTAATAGACGGGGTATAAATAATAATAAAATTATTACTATTATAATTATTAATTATTATTATTATTATATTATTTTATTTTTATTTTTATTATTGGGTGGGAATTCCAAAATCTGGGACATCACCACAAAGTAAACCCTATCTAGTCACAACTTGTCCCATTTTTGAGATGGGGACCTGAGTAAGGAAGGACCTCTGAGGCTCCATTGGTGCAACACAGACAGAATCAGCCCTATATTATGGGCATTATATATGCCATTAAATAAGTCATGGCACTACGGAATTGGGAGTGTATGTGATACCGACATGGAGACATTGTTACTAGGTAGGTGGGCAAAGCCTATTGCATTAAACAGCCCCTGCAGATGCCTAATGGAAAAGTACAGAAAACTCATCCTTGGCCAGTTCTCTTTTGTACCCACACAGCTGTAGGTGTAAACATGTTGCATAACTTAAAGGACCTGTGAGGAACTCCTCTAGGTTTATTTTTTCTCCTCTCCTCTTTGGCTGGTGTTAGTGATGCCTACAAAATGTTGATATACAGAAAACTGCTCTTGGCAGAACTCAAAAGCTTTTTCTCGGCTCGGCACTTAACATGCCATTTTGCTGTGGCCATAGCACAGTGATAAGGCAATCATTTTGCATCTCAGCCAATTCCTGCACCAGTTTTAGCTCACTTTACATGCACAAGCGAAATAGCCATTGGTTAACAACTTCCTTACATGGACACTCTTTAAACAACTGTACAGAGAAGCTGCTGTATTGCCCTAACCAAATGTTGCACTTCTGTTTCTTAAATACATAATCACTTAAACCAAAAGAATTGTAAAAAAAAGTATTAATTACAACTGATAAAGTTTTATATAGCCTTAGGAACATTTTTAACAAACACAGAAGCCTTTCAATTGTAGAATTGGATAGCTATTTATTTACAGTCATTGTCATTTGGATGATAGAAGGGAAACTTTGAAGCATACCAGTTCATTCATATTATGTAGATAGATTGGTTAGATAATCTCCAGGATCCATAAAGTATTTTAAATTCCATATAATAATTTTAATAATAATAATTTATGAAGTGGCTTGGTCATGCTGGCCACTTGACCCGGAAGCTGTCTGCGGACAAACGCCGGCTCCCTCTGCCTATAGAGCGAGATGAGCGCGCAACCCCAGAGTCGACCACAACTGGACCTAATGGTCAGGGGTACCTTTACCTTTACCTTAATCCGCCCATCTGGCTGGGTTTCCCCCGCCACTCATATATACACAAAGGGCTAAGAATTTTATCGAGGGGACATTTAGCTGCTCTACTCAACTGTGAACAGAAAAAATCAGGGCTGTTGAACACTTAGAAAACAAGATGCAAAGTATATATTACATGGAGGATAAGGAATGGGCTCTCTTCTCCTCCCCGGTCTAAATCTTTTCCCCACTCCAAGCCGTTGTTAGTGCCACTAAGATAGTCACCAAACAAGTGAGATAATCCCTTTTATTACAACCCACGAATATTAAAATGCAGCTTTTGCAAGCTATTGAGCATGAGTAGGCAAACTAAGGCCCAGGAGCTGGATCTGGCCCAATCGCCTGCTAAATCTGGCCCGCGGACGGTCCAGGAATCAGCCTGTTTTTACACGAGTAGAATGTGTCCTTTTATTTAAAATGCATCTCTGGGTTATTTGTGGGGCATAGCAATTCATTCATCCCCCCCCCAAAAAATAATCCAGCCCCCCCACAAGGTCTGATGGACAGCAGACCGGCCCCCTGCAGAAAAAGTTTGTTGACCCCTGATACTGAGTAACAGAACCTTCCCAGTGTAGGAGTATGTTCAGGAAATGGGGGGAAATAGATATTTCTGAAGCTAGATGTGCTCCAGCCTGGCTTACCCTTGGCTGTAGATTATTTTTCCCCACTCCTGAAACTGAAGAAAATACCAACAGACTTCATTATGTTAAGGTCTGGACATTTTTTGAACCACCAAACAGTGCCCTGTACCTATATTTCGATTTAGACTAAACTAATATTACCTTTCAACAGTAGTTGATGACTCAAAGTGGTCTTCAACCCGCAACTTTGTCATCAAAATGCATAACAATTTGTTACAAAATGTATCAATAACTCAAATAAGACAACAATTTAAAAAAGGTCAACATTACTGTGAAATACAGTGGTGCCTCGCAAGACGAAATTAATTCGTTCTGCGATTTTTTTCATCTTGCGATTTTTTTCGTCTTGCGAAGCACGGTTTCGGAAAAGTTTTGGAAAAGCTTCAAAAATCACCAAAGTCTTCAAAAACCTCAAAAAAGGCTATGAGTTGCTCCTCGAAGTCAAGTCGCAACTGTATTAACGGTTTTAAGAAAAAGGAAACAAACTTGCAAGACATTTCCGTCTTGCGAAGCAAGCCCATAGGGAAAATCGTCTTGCGAAGCAACTCAAAAAACCAAAAACCCTTTCGTCTTGCGAGTTTTCCGTCTTGCGAGGCATTCGTCTTGCGAGGTACCACTGTAGTCTAGACATGCAATAAGTAGGAGGGCTGTCCACTTGCCTCTAACCAAGGAGTTGGAGCTGCACAGTTCTACCTAATATTTATTCTATACAGGAACCAAGGGGTATTGTGGTATCAGTGCTCCTCTGGCATGCAGTTTTTTTGTCTGCCCCCCCATCATCCCCATGACTTTGTTGGCATAAAAAATGCCAGCCCATATTTTCCCTATTTAATCTGAATTTTCCAGGGAAAATCCAGTAATTTCTTTTTAAGCAACCCATTCGTAATCAATGACCTGATTGAAGATTAAAGCCCAGCCTGGAAGCACCCTTTGTCTCCTGAATCAAGCTTTCAAACTGGTAATGCCTTCCGCCCCCCTTGTCAAATGTGAGAACGGAACAGAGAAGGAAAATGACAATATTATTTAGAGGCAAGGGCTTTGTTTTGAATGCCACAATTCTGAGGTCTGTAATGTTCCTGGACCAAGAGTGTATTGCTTTTACACGATTCAGCTTTCAAAATACATCCCAGAGTTTCAAGTCACACAAAGGCTCTGAAACAAAGTATAAAGGAATGTGTGTTCCTTTTATTTATTTCTAAATAGTTCTCACACATTATCCTGAACACACTCCCCCCCCCCCTTTATGGTTTGTTTATTTTTTTGAAATGGAACCAATCTTCCATTACTGCTTTATCCCTGCAGCCTTGGTGTAAATTGAAACCCTGGTTAGATGGTTTGACTGTAATTGGATTAAGGCTAAAATCCCAATCCTTCTCAGAAAATATCACACTGCCCCCATCTGCTACTTTCTACCAGCATAAGACTTTTTTAAAAGTCTGCAGACAAGAAGGGCCAGGCTAATGCTGTACCTTGCACAGAAGCATCTCTCATTCATCCTTTTTGCTTTTACTTTTCTTGAACACTCAGCCTGAGGAAGAGTTTTGTTGCCAAAACTCACAAGTCAGTTCTAGCAGGCATAATCTCACTTGTTTTTGCAACACCAACATGGACTCCATATTATGTTTCTTAGAGGAAACTCAGATGCATTTAAGCCCTACTGATATAGTTGAAGTGCCACTCAAAGCAGAGACATCTATTTTAGGACAGCAAAGCAGTCGAGTAAGTGGATCCCATTTCTGAAGACCATACATTGTGTGACATAAGGACCACATCCTAAAATGACTTGAAGTGGTGAAAGATTGAAAGTGCTAACTATTGCAGCCTCCATCTGTTATCCCTGAGCTTGAATTGGCATGCCCAAGCAAAGAGGCGGACAATAGAGAAAGTCTTAAAATAACCCTTACTTAAGATACTCAGCCAGCAAATAAGCAACAAACCTTACTGAGAATAATGTACTTCAGGAGGGTAGGAAGGGAAATAGAGACAACTAGTGTCCAAGAAAGTAAACTAACTCAGGCTTAATAAAAGACAGAAAATGTAACACTCCAAAGAAAAAGAGCAAGCCAGAAAGCAGCTTTCCTTTCCTATGATCAAAGACAACCAGAGATTCACAACAATACAATTCAGAACATGGCCATAAGTTTTAAGTACTGTCCTCCTTTGTAGATACCCAGTTTTGAAGAGAATGGGATAGAATCCAGACAAAATATGGAGGATTTGCAGCCTAGTTGCTGCTAGAACATCCCTTCCAAAATCCCAGAAGACCTAGAATGACATATTCTGTATAATTTTCAGATAAAAGAGCAACATTTCAGGGAAAATAGTATTTTTTTAGGAGAAGGTCAAACTAACAAACTGCTAGTACTGTACTATTTAATTCACAATAGACCAAAACTAGAATCTGAAACAAAATTCTGCTTCATAGCTATCTCAAGTTTTATTTTAAGAAAAATCAAGCTTGCAACCTTCACAGTTATAGATTAAAAAAATGTTTGAAAGTATGTAGACAGAGTCAACTCCAAAGCAGGAGCAATATCTCACCTTCCTACACAGACTCTCTTTATGTATGCTATGGCTTTTATTCCCTGAATCCATCTTGACAATCCATGGGTGAAGCCAGCGGGGGAGGCATCAGGAAAACTCAATAAAAATCAATACAAATCTGAAGCGCTCTCTCTCTCTCTCTCTCTCTCTCTCTCTCTCTCTTTTTCTCTCTGAAGCTCCCAAACTGCCAATGGAATACATAATACAAACTGTTACAGAAAATTAAAAATTATACAAAATTATGCTGAGAGTATCATATGGAATGTATGCAGGTATAAAATATTTGCCAGCTTTGCCTATATTGTTAGCTATTGAATTAACAATGAAATCATTTCATATGGCTGATTTCTCTCAAGCCTGCTTATTCCTCTCACTTGTGCAAGGAGAGTGCTCTTTTGGCTAGATAATGAGAACTATTAGTATATAAACATATAGGGCCTCCTCAGTCACATGTTTTGGCTTTATTTGAAACTTAAATCACTAAATTTTAAACAGTAAGCAAAACTAATGCAGTTCAAACCACAAGAGTCAAGGTCGTTTAATGGTAGTTTATTTTCACATTCACACAACTGTACACTTTCTATAAATAGATGTGGGGCTGAAATATGTACATCTTCCCTCCCTCCCTGGCAACTCATTCATAATACACGGTCCATTCAACAGCCACACAGACCAAGCTGAATGGAACAATCCCAATGATTTCTGGAGGCAGATTGCCAATAAACCCTGTGAACTCGTATGGTACTCCAAAATGAGTCAGAGAAGTCAGTCAGATGTTCTACAGTTTGTTATATACTGCAGATCCTCTCCTTCAAGTACCCTGGTGCATGTTTGCATTAGAGTCCAGTACAGTCCATGAAAAAATAAAAGGCATATTAAATATTCATTTTCCAGCTTACTTAGAAATAAAAAAATCAAATGATACTTTACCTGGGAGGGAGGCTTCATTGCACAGTAGCACGGTGTTTGCAAAATTCTTTAATATACATGTACAATTTGACAGAAGCAATGGCTAAAAGGAGACATGGAATGAGGATATACAGTGCTATGGACAAACATTTGCATCCTCACAACCATTTTATGATTTGATGTGTTTCCAACAATATACAACGGAATTATAGGGTGCTCTAAATACTGAAGCTTTATGTGAGTATGTAATGATTTAACCAATAGCACTGTGTAGATTTTGGTGGTGGTGGTGGTGATTTGCCTTTCTTCACTTAATTCTAGACGTTTACCATGAAGAAGTCTATCACTATGAGCATGTACTACGGAACTGAACTGGAATGTCAGCAAAATGTTAGTCTCCTGTTTAAAAGAATATGTACAGTACATGCACACTGGACTGCATCATCCTTCCTGTGCCTTGATTTCCACCCATTCCTCTGAAGACACAATGACCAGACATGTGTGTAGTTTTGCTTCCACTCTCTAACAACCATGCCTTTCTGTGGAATGGGTTGGAGCAGCTTGCAGACAAAAAAGGGCCGCGTGAAAGGAATTCCATGCTGACAAAGTTAAGTCTGGAGAGCAAGGAACAAAATAATGTACAGTAAAGCACATTAGCAGCAGCAGCAGCAGCAACGAGTGAGCCAGGCAACACTGAGTTGCTTTCATCGCATACATAACAGAAATTATGAAAACAGAGGCTTGATTCTATAAATAAATAAAAAGTCAAACAATGGTATCACTGTAAAATAAAGAGAGCCGAACCTCATGTGAGCAAATCGTCTGGGACAGCTAATTCCAAGAGCCTGGCCAGAGCAGACCACACTCAGTTCTAGAAAGGATGCCAAGAAGTGCTGGAGAAGAACAGCTTCAGCACACAAATGAATAGTTAAGTCTGACTTTTGTAAAGGGGACTTGCAGGGCCATAGATAAACAAACAAGTTTTCATAAGAGATGGTTATGTGAGCTCCAATAACAGCCATAGAAAAGGGAGTATTACAGGCCAATGAATTTCCAGTGGTGGTGTTGATCAGCTGGAGACTGGGCGAGGTGGCTTGCTTTTGCTTTCTGCTTCTTTCCCACGAACTGCAGCCACATAAGAGAAGAGACACAATACCGAGTAGCAGATCTCATGAGCCTAGAAGACATTAGGAAAGACAACAGTGAAGGTTTGAGTAATTAAAGGTCTCCGGACTGTATTTATTGTATACCTTAGAGTTCCTTTACTTCGAGAACAATTATAGAAAGCTCCAATAGATGCCTTGAAATTGGTGATTCATCTATCTCATCCACACATATAAGGCTAAAGAATGCCCACTGTTTCAGCCTCAAATAAATTAAGGCAATAACAGGTGTAAATTTTTCCACCTGTGGAACCTATCTGCAGTGCCCTTACTTGCATTTAAAATGGAGCACTCAAGTGAGTGGCCCAAGGGCCATATGTTGCCCTCAATGCATTTTTTAGCACCCCCACCCAGCCCTGGTGCTGTGTTCCCAGAGCCGGGTGAGGCTGGGCTTTGGGAAGGAGGCGTGAGGGCTCTGATAGAGTCCTAGAGTCCTCCTTCCTCATTCCCAAATCCTAGTTTGTGCTTTCCCAGTTTTGGGGAGGCAGTGTGAGGGCTGTGCCGGGGGGGAGGGCATGATATTATAGCTTTGCTCCCCTCGCCCCATCCAATAAGGCAGTGTGCAGACTGAGAGTTCTGTGTCAAAGTATTCTTGTGGCCCAGTTGGTATGAAAAGTTGGACTGCCCTGATTTAAAACATACCTTTGCTCTTCAAGGTTGAATTCTATAAAGACTGGCTCTGCGTAAACGGTTTATGCATGGAGCTTATTAAATTCTATGATAGGAAGGACGTCTAATTTGGAAGCCCTTTACGAGCGTTCCTGAGGGATCCTGCCTTATGCCACTGAGATAAGGTTGGTCTGGAAATAACAGAAGCTCCGCCTCCTAGTTGACAGAATTGGATGTCAGACCTTGTCTGCTGCCAAAAGGAGGTGCATTCTCAGAAGTCAGACTGCCCTACTGTTACTATGGAGGCAAAGCAAAATCAAGAGATGAATCAGTGCTTAAATGAACAACCATGTAGTGCTTTACAAAAGATAAAAGCAGGGAGGGAGCAGCTTGCTTGAAGCATTATGGAGGGGCAAGGTTGGCATTCCATTCACTGATATGCGCATATATCATTTCAGCTGCAAAACTAGTGCGTAATTATTGTTGCTTGTTTGTTTGTGGTAAAAATTGCTTTTGTTTTTTCATCTTTCATGTACACATCTGTTGAGTAGGTATGACGCCATCCTGAATTTCTCATGCCTTTTGTGTTCACTTGTATCATAAATACCTATTAACTGTAAACTCAGTAAAAATATTGGAAGGGGCACTGCAAAACTAGGAGGAAGCTGGGTTTGCACTGCAACTGAGGTGCCTGACAAACATCATGTTTCAATATTAAATCTGTCTTCATCCTGAATAGAGGACTTCACAAAGTGAAAGTAGAAGTTACACAAGTGTGCAACCATTTTATGTGCCATCCAGACTCTGGCTGGCTGCAAAAGACTTTATGCAATAATAAAAAAAACTCGTTTGAGTTTGCAGCAAAGCATCAGGAGATCTATGGAGGTAATGTTTAAAGGAAATGATACCAAAATTCCACCTACAGGTTCAATATTATACACAGAGTGAAAATGGTGTGTGGAAGGTCTATTTCTTATTCTAGGTCATAGCCCAAACATATTGTTAACCACTAGACTTTGTCATCTACACAAACATACTTATACAGTGTCTAAATATTTTTTTAATCCTCTGTTAACTGGTAGCATCAAATGTACCCCAAAAGGGGGGGTGGACTTTTCTGCCAGTCTTCTGTAACTGTCTATTAGATCCCACACACCATTCTTGTGGGTTTATATCCTATACAATGTATGATGTTATTGATCCCAATGATTTATTTGCAACTATATTGTTTTACTAAAAAAAAGGTGAAGTTTTCAATGAAGGTGTAATTTTGTAGATATGCACTTGCTCTCATGCTTAATACAATCTCACAGCTTTTTGTTTTAGTTTTCTCGGGGAAAAGTTGACCTCATTTGCATATAATAATTTTTTGTTGTTGTTGGAGGGTCAAATCAAACAGTTTTAAAACTCTCAAGATATCTGCTTCAATATACACCTGACAATTATTAAAAATTTGTTTTCAGATTAATTCAAAAGATCTCAAGTGGTAATCATTAATATAGTTATGTTCTCAGTGATCGTAAGCCAGTACGTGTAGCATCTAAAATACAAGACTTTTAAGTTAATTATAGAATTAAAGATTCCCATGTTTTATTAGCTCAAACCACAACTCCTAGTTTCTGGAAAATGGGATGGAAAAGTAAACATTAATTAGTAGTTGTCCCATTTTCTAGAGGCTGACTGAGGTCTTTAAAAAATCAATTATTTTATACTTTATAGTTGAAGTAATCAGATAAAATGCAAACCATCAAATTTTGCTAGTCTAGTTTGCTTTCTGAAGCCCTAGTTTGCTTTCTGAAGTTCAACACAAAAATAAGCTGAAACCCATCATCAGAATACACACAAAAACCTGTAGGCTTATACATTCCTTCAGTCCTTATTTTTATTCTCTTCATTTTGAAACTGATCATAACCATACTTCCCCAGAAGCTTCCATTGAAGTGAAGTTGTCTAACTTGGGAAAATTAGCAAGATGGAGAGCAGTCTGAATGCTGAAATGCCACAAGGTGGACATGGTAAGAAAACCTTTGAGAAATAACCAGAAGACATAGCAGATGACTCACCATTGGCGTCTTGTACTTGTGGCTCACCACTTCTTTAGTTTCAGGAACTAAAACCGGACGGGCAAGAGACAAAACAAAGAGTTCAAAAAACGACAAGAAAAATTGAGGGGTATAGTACAATGTTCCCAAAGGCAAGAGGAAAGGAAATGTGCAATGAGCTGCAGGGGGAAAAGCACTCAGAATCACAGAATTGTAGAGCTGGAAGGGACCCAAGGGTCATCTAGTCCAACCCCCTGCAATGTAGGAATCTCAACTAAACAATACTTTTTTACTAATGCTAAACTTTACTCATTCTTTTTTCTTTCTACCGTTAAACATTGACCTATACCTGTGCTGGTGCCATTAGTTCTTGCTTTAGATAACGTTCCAAAGGAAGATTTGGCAGGCACCATCTTAAGAGCCTAAATACTTCTGTTCAATCATTTGTCAATGTGACAGGCTTAGTTTCAGATTTCACCTGTACATCAGCAACAGCAGATACATATTCCACTCTTATATAAACTAGCAGAAATTTACTTATGGATATTAAAAATTAAATGCCAGGAAGTCCAACTTCTATTCCCTCTGCAATAAGGAAGCAGAAGTAACAACGAAGGAAATACTGCTCTTCTTTTATCGCATTCAAATTGACCACATCAAAAGCTTGTGCATTAGTACAATTTCTGATCTGAATAACGTAATCAAACAACTACAGGCGTCCCTCCAACTTACGCGCGATTGACCACATATGCGAGCAGCACTGGGAAATAAATAGACTCAAACCAGGAAATGGCAGGATTGCGCTAGAAAGTCCTCGTAACTCACGAGGAGACACTTCCCAGAGTCTGAAGAGGACTTCAGTGAGGGCAGAGGAAGCCCCAAAGAGACCAGAGGCACAGCAGGGCTTTGCTTTGGCTGCTCAGCCTCCCCGCCTAGCAACTGACATACATGGGAGCAAGTCACCACCGATTTTCTGTGCATCCTCTAGCCTCCAAGTGGCCCCAGAGCTTCAACTCTAGTTTCAGAGAGAGTTATATGCAGAGAGAGCTGGAGAGCATGTAAAAATGGGCATTCAGAGGCTTTTAGAGAGTATTCCCCACTTATGTGATTTTTGCTTATGCGAACGGGCCCCCCAAAATGTAACCCAAACATAAGTGGGGGGGGGTGAGGACGCCTGTATATTCTAAAGTCAAATGATTATGGAATGATTTTGAATCTTTTCTTTGCAAAACATCTCAGATTTTCTAGGTTAACATAAAACAACTGAAGAAAAGAACCACTCTCCCCACCCCCCAAAAGGAATCCATGCATTTATCATGGGGAAAGATAGAGTAAGTATCTTATCATATAAACCCTGATATCACCTACTAAGACAGAATAAATGAATAGTCAATCTATGAACAAATGAATTCAGTATAAATGCTTATGTGGTGAAACAATATAACTCAAACAAACCCTTTCATACACGAGAACAAATGCTATCCAGGAGAAGGTCAATACAAAACAATAAAAAACTAACCAATATTTCAATGAGTCATAACTCTAATACAAAACTATGTGCCAGCAGCTAGAACACAGGGCATTGCGGCATCAACATTTCTGGAAAGTTCTTAGGAAAATCCCACATATTTAACATATGTACATGCCCAAAAGACACTATTCCATGCCACCAGGAACTAGATGAAGAGCAAGGTCTCACTCTAAACTACTTTAGTATCAAATAATTCTGGTACCAACTCTGCATCCCCATAAAAATGATTTAAACAACTAAAACCTGCTATATCATCACAAAAGGAATAAAAAATGATTAACACATTTCTGAGCTTGGAGTTAGTATGATCATTTGAAAGGCAAGTATATTGGACAGAAGAAACTGAAGTCAAGAAGTCTGGACCAAACAGAAGAGGAGTTGCAAAGTTCCTGACCCTTGAGAACTGGTTTTAGGAAGGGGACCATCATGCTCACTAAATCCCCCTGTTCCCCAACTCCAAAAATGAAAATAGGTTTTTAGAAAGGAAACTGGAAGAGAACCAAAGACCAAAAAAAGTTTGGTGGGGGAAGGGGGATAAAACATTACTACTGCATAGTATTAACAAACCAACCAAAAACAAGCTAAAAGGGGGGCATCTGATTTCTGAAGCTTTTACAGTTAGAAGGATGAAAGAAATAAGTACACAAGTGCCATCCTGCTTCCTCTTGCCCTGTGAATAAGAATACAGGTACAAAGTACTAACAAAGGATTGGGACGAGGGGCAACACTTTACCTGCTGGAGAATGAAGGTTTTCATAGCAGCAACAGTGAAGGGGTCACCAAAAAGTTAAGCACAAATACATAGCAGTAACTCAAATCTCAGAGCCAAGGCCTGGTGCTTCCCACTTTCTCTAAGCAATTCTTTCCAGGAACACTTCCTTCCAGCTATACGCCCTAAGATCTCATCTCCAACTTCCACATTGTCCTTTGTAAAGTGGTCTTGGATAACATGAGAAACATAAAAACAACCAAGCTGACAAAATGAAGATCAAGCAATGTGAAGTATAATCAGTAAGACCTACAGAACAACCTTATTACTCATTGGTTAGCTAGTTATTTTGGATGGCGATTAAAAACTACAATTCTTCCTATTAGGAAAAAGCAGGAAAATCTGCTTTAGCAATTGTGGATTCCATGCACTACCACTTTCATACTTTCATATGCAGCTGATAATGTCTTCTTTTGAAATTATCAAAACATGAGATAATTATATATTATATACAAGGCTTGGGCCTATTGTCTATAGTCATTGAAATTTCGGTTTCAAGGTCTGTCAGACACAAACTGACTGAAACAAAGATGGCGACAATGTGGCTCTTTGCTGGACCATAACTCTTAATAGTCTCTCACCCTTGGCCGCACTTATCAGGTTCTTCCTCGCAGGCCAAATTTGACAGGTGGGCAAAGCTGCCCGTCTGCTGATCACCTGATGTCACAAATGATATCAGGATTGATTGGGTGCTTTGAAATCAGCCAAGTCCCACCCCTCCCTGCCCTGCAATTGACATCAGGTGTAGGCTGGGTGGGCATGGTGTGCACAAAGCAGTTTGCAGGCCAAATAGGGAAGCCTGATGGGATGCATCTGGCCCAGGGATCAGAGGCCAGATCCATGGCCAGATCCACCCTGTTCTAACTTAGTAACGTAGTAAACAATCACATAGCACAGGGGTGCCTGATCCAGATCAGGGCCATATCAAAAGGAAGAAGGGATGAACCTTTCTTTGGACAGGCCAAGACTGCAACAACTTATTTCTTTCCAGGGGAGTTTCTAGATTGGGAAGTTTATTGTGGATCTGGTGCTGATCACTAACACAAGTTTTTTAGAGTGTCCTCATGGCATTGTCATCAAACCGTCAGCCCATTTTTTTATATTTAATACAGATTTCCCCTTAACCTAGAAAATATACATAAAATTAACCTCCAAATACATCTTTAGTCACTTCTGGTCTGAAAGCTCATTAGCTTTTGGTGGGTGGTTTATTATGTGATGGCATTTTAGTAGATAGTCTCTGTCACATCTCTAGTCATCTCACTTGCAGTGGTCCCCGGTACCACTGGAATATTGATCATTTCATGCTGAAGGCTTGCCTGTTTTGGAGACTCTAGTCTCTCAGTACCTTCACACCATGTAGGGAGATTGCCTTTGAGACTAATTGGAGTACATACACCAGGGTTTTAAAAAATGTTCAATATGGAGGTCTTGCAGAAGACCTCTTTATCATTCTTGCCCAAGTCTTATGGTAAATCTCACTCTTGCGCAAGACCTCAGTGCTAAAAATTAAAAATCAAGTGAACAAATGAAAATGAATATGGCCCTCACTACAGCAAAAAGGCACACTCCTCCATTTTACTCACTGTGAAACCAGATAAATGGCTGGATTAGACTGGTAACGTGTTCTCCTGGGATTTTTTTTTTTTTTAAAGATACACACATCGGTTCAGAAATACCTGTATACATGTATATTCAGACTAGAAAAAGGAGATTGGGGAGGGTGGGAGGAGTGACACAAAACTCAGCTCAGATACATTCTGTCAAGCTCTGCCCTTGGTGGATGGCAAGCAGCAGAATAGAATGAACATTGATGACTGCAAATGGAAATGTGTGGCTAATGTGTCAAATGGACAACCAACCAAATCAGATCTGAAGGACCTATTCTGTGGTATAAGGCCACTCTATGGAAGCACCCAAACAGTACTTTCACAGCAGAAAGGGTCTCCCAAAGCGAAGTGAACTGGAATATTGACCAGCAATTGCTCTGATCAGTCAGTCTGAGTATCAGTTGAGCATTTATGTGAATCCCATGCAATGACCTATGGTGCAGTGCAGATGGCATGGACCGCTTACAAACTGCTATAGAGCTTTGGCGTAACTGACCTGCTGATTTGTACCAGTGTACATACTCTCAAAAGATGTCTTGGAGAACCATCTACAGAAGATGGAATTCACTTTTACATTACATGCCCCCACATTTCAATGAATTTGAAAAGAAAAATGATTATTGATATATGGAACTTCATAAATTGGAATAAATTTGGAACATCCATAAATATGGAAGTTTAAATTGCCCTGAGTTAAATTCTACACTCACTTCATGTAGCAGGAGTTCTTTACCTAGCTATCCCTTTCCCAGCTCTTCTTTTCCCATCAGAATAAGTTCCTTGTCAAAACAAAACAAATCACTATGCTGAATTTACTCCATTCAATGAAGTTTTCTTAAGCAGCAAAAAAGAAGTAAAGTTGTTAGCCTCATTTCACCTCAGATCAAATACAAATCAAAGAAGTGTAGACATTGTAGTCTGTTGCAGAACATACAACAAGAATCCTCTAACACATTGAAGTAGCAAATTATTGTGGCCTAAAATTCATGATCCAGAGCCCATTTCATCGAAACCAATGCAATGCATCAATACTACATCTAGTAACAGCCTAACTACTATAGAAAGACAGCCTAGTTAAACAAAAAACACAAAGTACACTAATTGCTGGTCGCCATCCCCATCTGCACTGGACATCCTCAGAAAAGTCAGCTATGTCCTGCTGGTCTCTCTCTCTCTCTCTCTCTCTCTGACACCTACCCACACCCACACGTTTCTTCCTGATAGCAACAGGGAGCATTCCTCAGTAACAGGAAAAATATACAAGGCAGTCACACCTCACTCATTCCACATACACTCACCACACACATACAAACCGCAGGTGCACATGCAACTCTCTCTCTCTCTCTCTCTCTCTCACTCACTCACTCACTCACTCATACATAACACACTTCATACCTGCATTCTCCCTGTCTCTCTGTCCAAGTGCATCTGTCACAGACATGGGTGTCCACAGGATTTTTCCATTGGGGGAGGCAAAATAAAGCACTGAAAGGATGAAGCAGCCAATGTCTCCCCCAAAATGGGAAGAATAGTGCCTATAAGTTTTGCCTTATATCTCAGGTTCTAAAATTGTTAGAAATGTACTTTAAAAAAGAAAGGAATCTGGGAATCTGGGGGTTATAGTTCATCCTGGGGACACTAAAAAGGCTTTCGCATATGCCATGGTGATGTATTATACTCAGACTCTTGGGCAAGTAACTTGTTCTTTTTGACCAGGCAGATCCCCATAGTAGCTGCTTTGTGGTGGTGCCCATAAGAGTTGCTCAAATTCCTAAATATGCCCACAGACCCAAAAGGTTGGTGACTCCAGCTCTAAATCTTGTTATCTAAGCTTAACAATGCCTCAAGTTCACTCATGTCTTCTCCAGTTCTAATAACCTGTTTAGACACAATTTATGCTGCTTCCTTTGACCTTTCCCTGCCACCCCCCCAAAAAGAAAAATCTATCAAAACGATACAGTTCTGCCTCATGGAGAGGATCAGAAATTTGAGTTACTGCCATGTGAGTACAAACCTAATATCAAAATAATGTAATTACCAAATTCTTCCAGGACAAAGACTCCTCGCACTGTATTGCACTTTTTTAATGTGATTCAGCTCTATGAAAACCTGAAAGAAAAGAGGAGGAAGACACATGATCAGAATAAAGAATGCAATGTCAAATAAAAACAAGAACCAAAAGCACACCACAGCAGTTATAACTTGGAATGTTGTAGCATATACTACCAGTTCAACTATAGTTGACTACTTAAATCAAAAGAAAGAGAAATTGGAAAATCAAAATAAAAAAATTGCCACAGTGCTAGAAATCAAGAAACAACTGAAAAGGCTAAGAAGCTAAGACAGCAGAAGATGGAGTACCTTCCGCTCCTTGCAGGAGGAGAAAGCATGGAAGAGAAACAAAAGAGTTAGTAACTCTTGACATATCCAACATTGCTACCCCCTTCAGGCACTCAACTGGGTTACAGCAAAAATAAAAACCAACACACTTTGAAATGAAACAAAAGGAGGGACACAGACGGCTTCCAGATTTGGTCTGTCATTTGTGGTCTTGCCCCATCCCATTAAATGTCTGCCTCTCCATGCATCCTCCTCCGGCACAGAGGGCAGGCAAGAGGTGCCATGCTTCCCACCCAAACCAAGGGTTTTTCTTCTATGTTTCCACACGTGATGATGCTCAAGATTTACAGACTGCAGATTACACTAAGTGCTAAAACAAAGGGAGGTTGAGAAAAAAATGAAGCAGCAGGTTTTCACTTCTCTGACTCAGAAACAGAAAGTGTGTGAAAATAAATAAGCTATCTTATTGTAGTAGTCCATTCAACACCCAAAGTAGCTTCTCAAACATCCATGTGCATCTTGGAAAGTGCAATCACACTGTTTCATTCAGGACAAGGGGTAATATATGGCCTATGTGGAAAAGTACAGGAGGGAAAATCAGAATATCTCTATACTAAGATCTCTCCAAACAATGGCAAAATCCCAGGTGTTTTTCTATTAGCAATATACTTACACTAGCATACATAAAATGTCAATATTATGATATGCCATCCCCAAAGAATGGGAGGATAGTCTGTTTACAGGGATATGATGGGAGAGATAAGTAGGAGACTGCTTTATTAAAGGAAGATAGCCTGCTTTGTTCCTTAAAAAATGCACTTAAAAATCTAGCAATTTCTCATTTAAAAAAGTATAGTACTAAGTCATAGGAAAAGATGCAACATCCCTTGAAAAAGAAATGCTTCTGGAGGGAAAGATGTTCCCCAACTAACTGAATAACAACATGTTTATTATGTTGCATATTGCATAACTGACAAAGTCCTTAGAATCAATCATTTTATAAAAATAAATAAAAAGCTTACAAGGGATGATTACACCTATCTCTATCCTTTTCTGTTTTACCAGAATCTACAATCTCAGTGTTTACCCCAGTGCATGGCTGCAAAAAATAGGTTTGTCAGTCTTCGAGCAACAAGTTTCCAAATCCGGACAATGCCACAACAAAGGGCTTGTTATTTGGGCAAAATACAGCAATACCTATCATGCTAGAGTCTATTTGGATTTACAGTTTCGGGGTGCTTTGGAAATCTACTGCTGCATCTGGGACTACAGATTGCAACAGTGGACAAAATTATAGCCCCAGAGCATGGTTTAAGGATACTGTACATGATTCTGCTACTTCGTTGGCAAACCATTGGGAACCCTGTGTAAGTTATCTTGTTTCCATGATGGAATAAAGGCATGAAAGGTATGTACAATTCAGTTGACACGTCCCCCCAAACAGCTTAAATACACAGAGAAGTGTGAATTAGAATAAATGGTGAATTAGAATACACTTGAAAATTTATAAAGAATTGACTTGCTTTAATTCCAAGGTTCAAATGGCAAGTTATGAGGCAACTATAGGATTCCAAACTCTGTTGTTATAACATGGGTGTAGCCAAGGGGAGGGCAGGGGGGCAGCTGCCCACCTAAATCAATACCAACCAATACAAATTTGAGGTTCTGCCCCATAACAAAAGCCTGCCCCTCCTAACAAAAACCCTGGCTACGCTCTTGCATTATTGTGCTTGAACAGGGTGCTAGGGAGATTTGCAAGGGAGAACCAACATGTAAGATTGAGATGTTAAATCCTTCCACTGCCCCTGTATTATCTCCTGAAAATTCCTGCCTTACTGTTGTTAACCAATTTTCCCCATATTGATTCCAAGACCAGAAGCCAGACCAACTGGGGGGAACAGCTAGTGGAGGGAGGCATTTACAGGGGGAATCAATAGGTGCCAGAAGGTTCACACACGCCACTTCTGCCCACTGATTCTCCTCAAGAAAAGTCCCAATTCATGCAGTCATGTCACCCTGGCAAACACAGGTTTGGGTAGGCACATTTGATGAGATAGCCCAAATGGTTAGAAATTCAAGGAAATCAGGTTTATACACAATGACTTCTGATCACCACTTTCTGTGCTTCATTAGCTACACTCCCCCCGCCCGGCATGTATTCAAAGTAGCAAATGCTCAATCATTGTTGAAAAGTGAGTATGTAATCCCACAGAGCCATTTCTGCTGAAAAGCATCTTGCTTCTTGAGCAGTGCAAGTGGCTATACTGGAAAGTTAAAATGAAAACAAAAAACCTCCACCTGTATGTATATTTCTCCCCAGCATATGTGAACAGCTTCGCTGAATCTCAGCCTAGGGCTCCTAGGGACACCAGTAGAACTTAGGAAAAAAACTTAGAAAAACAACAACAGAACACTGCACAAAAGACTGACTGACAAATTTAACTCTCTCCCCATCTCTCTCTCTCTCTCTCTCTCTCTCTCTCTCTCACACACACACACACACACACACACAAACCCAACCCTAAAATTGATTCCACAGCATATGCAAAACAAACATGAACACCAAGCAAAAGAAAAACAATGATCAAGAGAAGCAAAAAAGAAAACACATCCAGAGAAAAGAACAGAGTGGCACACAAATCCATTTGTGTTTCCTCTATACCTAGAGATAATGACAGATTCAAAAGGGAATAAATAATTACGTCTGTATCTTTATGAGAAAAATTGTTTCTGTCCCATTTATTGAACAGCCTCCGCTTTCAACCACAGATGAACAAGGGCACTGCCCTGCCCTGCCCCACCCATTTAGGGGGCGCAGCCATGTGACGCGTTTTGTGACACCAGGGGCAGGACTCATGGAGGGTGGCAATCTTTGCGCTTGCTCGTCGCAGCCCCCACCCGGCTCCTGGGCAAAGGCTGGCCAGTGGCAGCCCCCTCAATATTGGGGGGGGGCACAGCACCTTTCTCCTGAATATTAGGGGGCAGGAGCCCCTTGCACCCCATATACCTGGCGCCCCTGCAGATGAATTACACATGATGCAGGAGCGGCTACCTATCTTTTTAAAAAAGGTTTGCTAATGCCAATTTTAGTTATTTTAGTTTATTTTTCCATACAACAATAGTTGTCATGAATTCACCAAAGTTAAATGGTGAGCAAATTGTTCCATAAGGCTGGGAAGTTATTTTTTTAAATAAAAAAACCAGTGTTTTTTGCTACGTCCATACAATATACCTAAGTGTTCCAAGACTAAATGCTGTTGGAAATTGTTTTGGAAATCCAATGTAAGCAAACCTCACCATCACCTGAATTGCATTCTTTTCTTCAGCTTGAAAGAACAAAATACATCTATAGCATCATTAAGAAGATTGAATGAACAACCCCATATGCTGGTTGCAGAAAAACTAAAGCTCATTTAAAGAATTATGTGGATTAGGGCCATTATTTTTGTTGGTAGTTTGTGAATTCTGCGTACTAGTATATAGAGCTAATATTTCATTCTAAGACAGATACTACATAATTTAAATACTAACACTGAGATTCTCTTAACTGTGGAGGAAAATAATTGTCTTTCTCCTTCACCTCCCCAAGGGAAGAGGAAACACGTTTATTGGTGCACTTTAAGAAGCTCCATGCTCAAATACTCTTGTTCAAGGGTTCTTTCCTACCTGACTGTGCATGAATTTCAGGTTAATCCCTTCCAGTGTGACTTGGAGAAGCCCCCTTCACCAGTTTTCATATCCTGCACTGGGAATTCCCCACCAGTTCAGGGCCTGCAATGTAAA